GCTCTCCAATTAGCATGGCTTAGCCTGAACCATCAAATATTGATTCCCCTTGCGGATATCTTGGAATATCTCTGAATATCTTCTTTTTCTCGGCCCGTGTGTGACTGTTCCACCTGCAGCCGAATAATATTTATTATTTATTTATTTTTTGTTTGGCTTAAGCTTTTTTGCCCCTGACACATTGTCATTTTTTTCGGCTTTCTACTTGAACCTTTTTGTTGTGGATATTTTTTTCTTTTGCTTGGCTGGTTTTTTTCTCGTTATAGTGTTAGGTTGTACTTGAGGATGAAAAAATGATCTATTTATAGCCAAAAGTTTAGATATTTAAAGTTGGCTTAAGTCCAGCTTGGGTTTTTTTTTTCTTCTAATTCTCTTTTGGGTGTTTCTTATTCAATTATAAAAAGTGTATTCCGTACCTGTCCTGACTTCAATTAGATAATTGAATAAAGTTGATTAATCATAACTTATCGATGGCCACTTCCCATGATCTTTTGGCCCCACGTTCGCTTATTCATTTGTCTTTGGGCCTCTCTTCCTCCCTTTGGCTTCTCTCTTTGTCTTTTGGTTTATCGGTTGGTTTGCTGTGCGTGCCGCTTTCGCCTTTTTTGGCCAACGCCGACGACAAATTCGTTTCATGCCCAAAGACGGCGACAAGCTTAAAACGCATTACCAATTTTGGCCATGGCTAATTTCACATATTTATTTATTGTTTCGCCCCCTTTGAATATGTGGAATATGGCTGAGAAATGGACAGGGAGCATACACATATATTGGATTGGCTTTTGTTTCTTTCTTTTCGTTTTTAAACACATGGGTGGTAACGCATGGCGTATACTTGATAACGCTTTGAACTTTGCTTGTGCCAATTCAGTGGAAATTCCTGCCTAATTGGCTTCCTTGTGAATACCCCTTGACATTCAAAGATTGCAACTAAGTTGCATCTCAGGAATTCCCAGAAATTTGAGGCTTACGAAACTCTCGGAATTTCTAAGCAGAGTGTGCACTTAATAAAGGTCTGGACTTCAAAAGCCAGGATTGTGCATCCACTGGAGAGTAGTTGAGAAAGTCATCAGTATTGGTTGCCAGTTACCCCACTCAGTGTCAATTTCGCTGCCTTGATTAGATTTCGCCAAGGCCATAATGAAAATTTTAATAAAGCTGAAAGTGGACGCTTGTACAAGATTCCTGAAAGCCAATTCCAATTAAGCCAGGTAACCTTCATATTTCTCACTCAGCTTGAAAAAGGTAATTGCGGCACTTGAGGTGACTTATTGTACACTTAAAAGAGCTCGGTTGGAAAACTTTGGGGTTTCTTTGCTTTAAATTAGTGCTGTAAAGTTAATTTTGGGAATAAAATCGGTAATGATATAATTAAAATGGGATTTTGCTTACAAACTTCAATTTACTGAAATCGAGTAAACGTTTATGTTAGATTTAAAGATGGTGTACAATTATTTTGCCATTTTCTCTGTGTGCTCCAGAGATGCTAATTTTAGCTTAAGCCAGGAACAAACTTCATATAACAATATCCAATTTCGCCGGCATCCCACACATTTTAGCAGCCAGGGAACCAGGATTCATTTGGGGAAGTGGCAAGGATAACGAGTGGGGAAATGTCGGCGGGAATCGGGAGTAAAACGCATGCCAAGGCACGTTAAGCTGCCCACTCGAGTTGCTGGCTGGCCTGGCCTTTTCCCCATCAGGAAAATTTCACCTCCTTCGCGCTCTTTTCCGCATTCAACGGAGGGGGCGTGGCATGTCGGCGGGGGCGAACGAAAAAAGAAAAGGGTGGATCCTTGAAGTTCGGACCAAGTTTCATTCAACTTTTGCGCAGACTTCTTGGCCCTCAAGGCAAATAATCTGGCCAAGAACAACAGTATGTTCACGATGCCACCTGCCATTGTAGATTTCTTGTTTTTTTTTCTTTCTTTTTTTGCCCCACCTCCTCCTCATTTTTCCCCCTTTTTTTGGACCGGCAAGTGTGTGGGTTGTGTTTGTCAATTAAATGTGTGTATTTGTGTGTGTGAGCGTGTGTGGGTGGTGCTTTTGGGTGGCTGACTGAACATTGTGATTGTTATTATTGGATTGCATGCTATCTCAGCGCCGCCAGTCCCCCCAATTGGATTCTAATTGGATGTGGGAATAACCAGAATGTGCGGTGTTGGGGTAAAAGTGTGAACAGCTGGAATGGATGACCCTGAAACGCCGGGCGGCGACAAGTTCGATATTTGTGGTGTCCCCTCTTTTGTATTTCTCACATTGGTTTCGATTTCAGTATCACAATATACGGAAAAAGAAGTAAAACATACACGAATCTCCCCAATTATGACTCATAAGCACCCCTAAAGTTCATATGCCAGAGAAGAATGTGAGAACGAAAATGTTATACAATATTTCTTGATTATTTTTGTTAACCATTCAAATTTCTGCAAGGCACGCACCTTGGATTATTTATTGACCGGGTAGAGGAAACGAAGAAAAACAACTCGGGGAAAGTAGATTATTTATTGCCTTTATTGAGTATTGCTGATATGCAAATTGGACAACTGAAGGACATGGGAATTACTTTCACCTGTTCCTGAGCGGAGAAAGTTGTGAATGGAAGTATAACTAAAACAGTAATACTTTCAATTTTCCAGGGGTAGTTTGTTTATGGTAATCTAACCAAGGCAACTTATATATTTATTCTCATGAAAAGAATCCGAAATGCAAATAAGTCAAGAAATTATTTGCACTTCTTTCACTACTTTCGTAAACGAAATAAAAAAAATTTTAAAGGAGTTGTTTAATCCCCCTTTGAGAAAAATCATAAAAGTATTGCCTACTTTCCAGCATCCATGGACAGTGTGCAACACTGAAAGCAACGGTGCTTTAAGGTGAATTCACATAATTCTCCTGTGTTTGTGTGTATGTGTGGGGATCAAAGTGAAAGTGCACATGAAAACAAACTGAAAGGCAATACAAATGCATGAAAAGTAACAAAAAGGAGCCAAAGGGAGGAGAAGATGGCGAAAATGAAGGAGAAGGAAAAGTGGTAGATGAAAGGAAGTTGTTTGTACACACACATGTGTGTGTTTGCTGCCTGCATTTCCGCTACTTTATCTCGGTGTGTGCGTATGTTTGTGTTTGTATGCATTGGTGATGCAATCTTTAGCAGGGAAAATAAGAAGAAGGAGCAGAGCACATGGACGGACAAGGGGCGGTAAAGTCACCACCCAACTTAATTGAAAATGTTGGCAATTAGAGCTTTAACAGGAATTTATTGTGCCAACACCGGGAAGCAATGGGGAAAACGCAGAGAAACAGAGGAGAAACGACAATATTTTTTAGGTAAACTGCGAAAAGAACTTTTAATTAAATTTTCCACAAAAGCTTCAGAGTATGTGTGTTTGTGTGCGTGTGTGTGCCTGTGTGTGGGTTTATATTGGTTGTGATTGTGCGTTTAATTAAAGTGCATTTCATGTTGCTTCTACCGCACTTTCCGCTCGCTCTTTTTTACCCGCCGCTTGTTGATGACCTTAATCTCGTTGCTGCACTGCTTTTGGGGCCAATAAACTAAATAATGATGGCATGGATGATATGTACCCCAAAAGCAAATACAGCGGAGGAAAGTGGGTGAGAGGGGGGATCAAAACCAGCAAGCACCCACCCACCCACTTGTACCCTTCTTCACTAGCTCTCTCTCTCTCGTTTTCTCTGTGTATATAACGTCTATATACCGTATCCATCTCTCTCTCTCTCTCTCTCGCTGCGAAATCACATTTCACCTTTGAGTGAAGCCAAGTATTCCACTTGTTGTTTTTGCAGTATCTCAATGTGCCATCGACGAAAAATGCCGCAATGAAATTTGCTCAACATTTTCCCAACTGGGTGAAGGTTGTCGGGGGTTTGTCGACCCTCCCCCCCAAGCCGCCCACTTTTCCGCTTTCCCCGCCGAACCGTTGAATGTTGTCGCATTTTTCTTTTAGCCGCTTTACTTGGCGGACTGCAACTTAATCAGAGCAGTGTGGTTACCCAAGTTTCCCATACGTACCCTTTACAACTTTTTTGCCAAAATTAATTTTTTTTCAATTTTTCCTCGAAATATCTAGGATTCCCTTAATCCCGTCTCCCAATTTTGCGCAATCCTCTGACACAGTTGGCAGCAGAAACCGAAAAAGCAAAGCAATCCACTGCGTTGCGTGGTAATTAGTAAATGCAAAGCTTTTTAGCCGGAACTCGTGCCATCTGCAGGGCAACGTGGCTTATTGCAGAGGGTTTCCCGGGAAACTGGCCCACCCACACATGTGGATCTTTGCTCTCTGCCACATGTGGGTGGCCCCTACTTCCTTTTTCCCCAAATGCACACAAGTGCACTATTCCTGGGAAAACTACAGGTTGTGGGCGGTTTAGAAGGTTTCCTATGTGGTGGCGAATATGTCACTTCAAATGCCAAATCAAAGTTGCTGAGTTCTGGGGAAAATTAAACAGTTCCGAACTGAGTATTCAGCACAAATGTCAACTGCCACAAATTGGTTCTCAGTAATGTAGAATACAATGTTGTCCATTGGAAAGTTCCAGGGAAATGGCGTCATGTTTCACTTATTGATTATTTACCACATACAGACATTAAACTTGCTTTTAATCTTGGCTTGTCATGTCAATTAGTGAATGAAATTAATTTTGAATGTGGGAAATCAATTAATTGAAAAGGATGTCACAAGGCAGCAGTTTTTAAACAGATTAGATTTTAGCATAGCTCACATAAATATTTATTAGGTATCTTAGTCTATACCTATTCGATTAATGACAGGAAATCATATAGTAATATATATAGTAATTATTTAGAATGAATTTAAAATTTTAAATTCTAATCGCAACCCTTTTCTTTTCGCTTGTAAATTCTTTATCTTAGTTTATATATTCGATTAATGATAGGAAATCATATAGTAATCCATTCTGAATAATTTGAAATTCAAAATTCTGATCGCAACCCTTTTCTTTTCGCTCGTAAATTGCAGGGCGGCTATCCGGCGCGTCTGAAGAAGGTTTTGATCGTGACGGCGCCGCTGTGGTTCAAGGCACCCTTCAAGATCCTGCGTCTGTTTGTGCGCGAGAAGCTGCGCGAGCGAGTGTTCACTGTATCGGTGCCGCAGTTGGCGCTTCACGTGCCGCGCAAGGCGCTGCCCATCTATCTGGGTGGCACGCTGGAGGTCGATCACGCCACATGGTTGCTCAGCTGCCGCCAATCGATGACGAATCGTGAGGACGAGCTGCTGGCCAATATCGTAGGTGGTGGTGTGGGTGGCTCTGGCTCTGGCTCTGGTTCTCCAGTGGCCACCAATGGCACGGAATCGGAGGCCGTAGCAGCAGCAGCAGCAGCATCATCATCATCAGCAACAGGAACGGGAACAGCAGCAGCGGGAGCAGGAGCAGGAGCAGCCACAACAGCAACAACGACGGGGTCCACGATAATCAGTGCCGTCCACCAGCTGGGCGAGAACAATACCACCGTGGTGACGGTCAGCAATGGTGTGGGTCCAGCCGGATCGGCAGGCGAATCACTGGAAGGACCAACTGCCGAAGTCATCACAATCAACGGACTGAGTCCAAGCCACCGGAACAGCAGCAGCAGCAGCAGTAGCGCCAACGCCACCTTGGCCAATCCCCTCAAGCTCAACACGAGTGGATCGGCGGAAAACAACGGCAGTAGCAGCAACAACACCACCACCACCAACACAACAGCAGCGGGCGGTGCTGGAGGAGCTGGTGCTGGTGGCACCACCAACGGAGGCGGGGAGTTTTGGTCCGAGAATCCGCCTAGCAGCGCCTCATCCGGATTCAGCGACGACGACAGTCTGGCCGGACAGGAGGGTGATCCCAAGCCCATCGATCAGATTGTCCAGATGGTGAAGCAACGCGGACGGCATGGGCTGATCAAGGAGTACGCGGACATCAGGAACAGGGCGCCCGAGGGCACCTTTCTGCATGCGAGGTAAATCCAAATCAAAACAGCAAAGAGTAAACAAATAGTAAATTGGTTTTATTAATGTCATTCGCAGGATGCGCGCCAATCTGACCAAGAATCGATACACAGACGTCCTCTGCTACGATCACAGTCGAGTGGTGCTGGCCCACGAAGACGGCGACGAGCCGTCGGATTATATTAATGCGAATTTCGTCGATGGCTACAAACAGAAGAATGCCTATATTTCAACTCAAGGTGAGTGGATTGCCCCTACAATCTGTGTACAAGAATTGTTAACTAATCAAGATCTACATTTAAAGGTCCATTACCAAAGACATCCCAGGACTTTTGGCGCATGATCTGGGAGCAACATTGTTTAGTTATAGTGATGACGACGCGTGTGATGGAACGCGGACGCGTGAAATGCGGCCAATACTGGGAGCCGACTGAAGAAAGTTCCTTAGAGTTTGGCGACTACCATGTGCGAACAATTAGCGTTGAGTGCAACGAGGACTATATGGTTGCCTCGTTGGAATTGAGAAACATAAAGGTTAACAACTACATTGCAAAGCATTTAATTGAAGAGAAACTAATTGATTGATTTACTTCCCGAACGAACAGACTGACGAAATTCGCAATGTTTCGCATTGGCAGTTCACCAGCTGGCCGGACTATGGTGTTCCCAGCTCGGCCATGGCCATGCTGAACTTCCTGCAGAAGGTGCGCGAAAAGCAGGCGCAGCTCGTGGCCGCACTGGGCGACACTTGGGCGGGACATCCGCGCGGACCGCCAATTGTGGTGCACTGCAGTGCGGGCATTGGACGCACAGGTAAGTCTCCGTAAAAAGAGATAATCGAACACAAAGAAGAACCCCTATTAACTCTACCGATCTGCAGGCACATTCATCACCCTGGACATTTGCATATCGCGGCTGGAGGACGTGGCCACGGCGGACATACGCGGCACCGTTGAGAAGATCCGGTCGCAGCGCGCCTACTCCATCCAGATGCCCGATCAGTATGTATTCTGCCACCTGGCCCTCATCGAGTACGCCTATTCGCGCGGAATGCTGCAGACCGTCGACTTGGCCGGCTTCGATGAGCGTGAACCGGATTCGGAGTAGGACAATACCAACACCAACAACAACAAAACAGACGGGAAACCGACGAGAGAGAACAACTTGTATACAGAATAATATTATGTTTTACCCTTGCAAATTGGAGTTGTAACTTTTTTTTCGACTAAATGTTCGTCCTGATATGATATGATATGATATGATATAGAGGAGGAGACGAGAAAGGAACGATAGACGAGGAAGGCACACAGATAGATTCCGAGACACACGGACGGGAGATCGAGGAAGTGTAGTGAGAGTAGAGTAACCAATTTACGTTAATCTATTATTTTTTTTTAAATATTATTACATACCAAGCTATAGTTGTATAGCGAAAACATCTATATATAAACATTATTTAAATTAAATTTAAACTAAATGAAAAACAAATAGCTAAAAATAAAGAAGAAACAAAAACAAAACCAGCAGCATTAGCAAACACAAGCGATAAGCAGAAAACAAAGATTAACAGCGAAGAGTGTTTAACCATGACAAAGTTAACTAGAGTCCGATGAAGTACGGAGTACAACGAAGGCATATACGATGTGGATGAGGATGAGGATGAGGAGCAGGACGAGGACGAGGATGAGGATGAGGATGAGCTAAACAAACCGTCCGGCGGAGAGTCAGAATCGGAGGAGCGGACAAATCTTGTGCATTTTTTCCCCATCTCAACCAACGCAACCACACAAGTAATCAAAGCGCAGCGAGCTGCCAATTTCCTACAAGCAACTAAATGCAGCTGAACAAAGAGCAGCAGCAGATGAGCGGCAACTAGTTACATAACTTATATAGCATATGCCTAATTCAAAGTACCGCATACAGCAATACGTATTACGAATATATAGATACCAGAAGAAATCAGATTTAAGCACTGTTCAATGTTGTTGCATACGAAAATAGCCCAAGAGAAAGGAGAGCCATCGTCATCAACTTCGCCAGCCTGTCCTCCTGGCCGCATCTTCTCCAGATGTGACCAAAACTGATGCCCGAAAACAAAGCCCCACCCCACCCCCAAAAGTCTCTTCGCCTCCAAGCTGTTAAATGTGTATTTTTTTTTTTGTTTTTCTACCCCGTTTTTCTAATTTTTTACAAATATTTATATATATATATAGAGGAAAATTAAGTGTACCATGCAGAGAGTCGTAGTGAATTTTACTAAAAAATTATTTTACCAACTAAACGTAAATAGTTGAAAGTGCAGAAAGCGAGTATTAAACAAAAAAAAAAAAAAAAAAAAAACAAACAAAACGAAATAAGAAACAAATATCTAACATGCCTTCTTTCCTAAATTTTTCATATGCCAAGCGAATCTAAAACGGAATAATAATCGTAATGAAAATAAATGAAGGAAAACCAAACATATTTTGTATTACTTTTTTAAATAACACGAACGAAGATCTATATAAAATTATGAATCAATTCAGAATGGCAGCTTTCTCGAGCAGAAGTAAACTGAAAACAAAAACGAAATATTAAGTGTAATTTATGTGTATGTAATGTCGGACAGAATGCATTTTCTTCGTGCATCTTTGCGAAAGTATTATAAATATTTACATATATATAACGAAATGAAGTGCATATATTGCGACACAATTGCAAGAAAGATAAAAATGTGTGTGTGTGTTTTTTTCCCGTCATGTATGCATGTAAATACCTACGAAGTATATAGTATTTTTGGTGCGAATTTAAAAGTTGGCCGCACTGTGCTCCAATCACACACTCCATACACACTTTACCACTCACACGTATATCATTAGAATTGTAAAAGCTGTGATCAAACCCGAATGAAAGATGCAAGTCGAAATTGGAGCCACAGATTCTCCTTCACACAGCCAGTCAGTCAGACCATGGATGTCGTCACACTCTACGATAATATTAATCACACAACAGAACCATTTTCAATTCTTTCAAAGGCCTTTTCCGAGAGAAACAAAGAACAAGAAACCTAACCAGATTGCATAATTATTACTCACCTCCCAGAACGATGGATGCTCTATTTTTATAATGCTTGACACAGAAATCATACTGCATATAATCCAAAACAAAAACCAAAATCAGAAGCGATAAGCGAAAAACGAAAAGGTACCACGATGATAACTATAAATATTTTTTGTAGGCTCCTTGGATCGGAGTGGTGGAAAGAATTTATTTAAAATATATATAAATATATCTATGTATTAACACATGTATGAAAACTAGCAAAATTTCTTCAAGTGTAATGTAAAACTTAGCTAGAGTCACAAGCCTTTTTTTCCGTTCAAACAAAGTGTAAAGAAAATTACTTAGTACGAGTACTCAAAATGTTGCATGTGTGACGATGCTTTCAGAAAGCTTTGCTGCGCACAACATGCACCGAAAAAAATCGAAACCGAAACTTAAACCGAAATCGAAAAACCAGTCACCAGATCGATCGATCCATCCCACCCTTAACCAACTCTTGACAAGATCTATCCACTAGCATCAGCACTAGCCGCAAACTCCCCCCGCTATATTGAATATACTCGCATTTGTCGCACTTGGATAAGATACCACTAACCAGGAGACACCTCCACTAATCCAGTAATCCACTAACCCAGCTCAAAATTCCAGCAAAACCAATGTATATACACGCGATTGAGCTCGCGTCCGGGTAACCAGTCCAAGATCCACACCCAAAACATGGAAATGGTCGCATAATATTTAAGGGCATATAGTATGTGTTATCATTTCATGGAGGCAAACGAGAAACCAAAATACCACTTGATGTAAAAGCAAATTGCATTTTGCAGTTAAAAAACAAATAAAGGTAAAAACAGAAAAATGTGGATAAAATATATAGAAAACGGAAAACGCTTCGTTTAATTCTCAAACACTGGTCGGGTTCTTAATTTTCAGGATCTAGATGTGATTTTGAATATCCTTGAAAATACCGGAACTGGACATCCCGACTCATCCCAACCTAGGCAGCAAATGGGACACAGCGTTGGATTCTAAATTTAACAATAGTTTATTGACTTATTATTTTATTTTATTTTAAAATATTACTAATTTAAAAAAAAAAAAAAAATAATAATAATAATAATTGCCACCTACTAATGTGTAGCATACTTTTGGGACCAAGTAAGAAATCAAAAAATGTGGCCACCAACTATTGCATTCTGTTCGCCTGGTACTTCAAAATGCGTTTGGCCCAAAATTTGTGGGCTTAGCTGACCGATTTCGACGAGACCAATTGAAACTTTCAGATATCAAATACCAGGCCAACATAATTCATTAGATGGCAGTTTTAATTGGGACATTTTGGGACACCTGCGACAATTGGGCCATTTTGGGACAATTGGAACATTTTGGGACAAGTAAGAAATTTAAAGAGTAGCACCCTACTATAGCTTTATGTTCGCCTGGTACTTCAAAATGCGTTGGTGAATGATTTTAACGAGTGGAATCGGGGCTAGGATTTTAAGTACCAGGCCAACAAAATGCATTAGTAGTAGGTGGCCGCGTACCATTTTTGTATGGTATAAAATTATAAAACCTGCTGCAAGGGTATAAAAATAAATTAGTCTAACATTGATGAATAACCACATATTTTCAGTTTTGCTTTTGAAGTAAAAGGCTCACATTTATTTGTTTATAATTATAGGTAATTTGTTCATAAATACACGCACATTAATAATTCATTAAAACAATCTTTATTTATCAATAAGTAGTTCAAAAAGCGTTTGTTTATCTTCTATGTCTATCTCTTTCACTGACTCCGTCTCTGTCTATCGCTCTGTCTCTCTCCGTCTTATTCGCTTTCCGTTTTTAACTAATGCCAAAAATACATGTAAACAAATCACCATTTAGTTATCTTTTTCGTTTCGTTTCGTTCTCGCTTTCGATCAATACTAATCATAAAAATGTAGGTTGTTTTTTTTTTATTCATTTTGTATGTTTTTTTCCTTCAATTATTTAGCTAAGTTTTGAATTTTGTAAGTTTTCGTTAAATATATATAATTCATATATCGTTAATTGTATGCGCCGAAAGAACCAATAAAGCCGAAGCAACGCACTGGACCAATTTGTAATCGTTGGCAAAACAGCAGCCAATTTGTGTATATATAATATACCATATAGACTCGATGGAAGATGACGTGTGCAGTCCGATTCTGGCCATAGATTTGGTCAATTGGCAGGCGAGGATGCACACGACAACATCCACGCGAATATTTAAAGGATTTGTAAATTCAAAAACAATTTACATACTTTTCTTTTTGTTTGTTTTTTTTTTTTTTTTTGTTTTTGGGGGGAGTGGTAAAAGAGGAGGATAAATATATATATCTATATAGTATATATGCTATAATAACTGACATCCACAGTACGCTTATTTGGAATGCACACATCTAGGGAGTGTTCAAATTTGAGTTGGAATTCGAGTTAAGGCTAAGACAACATTATAAGCTAGTTAAGTATTGGCGTAGAGTTGCTCTGCTCTCTTTTCTTTATTTTTTTCTTTGGGTTCTGCTAAGTTCAATCTGCAGGAGCAGCGATTACGATTACGCGTCGAAAATTTTCCTAGAGGCAGTTGGCATCGTTTCGAGTGTAAAAAAAAGTCAGGCAGAGTCAAGCGAAGGAAGGATCCTTGGGCTCAGAAGTTATCCAGGGGGCGTGTATCTTACGATCTTACGACTAATGACTGGCGGCGCTGGCAAGCCGTTTTGCTCTTGAGGTAACTTCCATTCAATGAACGGCAAAAACGAAGGCGAAGGCAAATTGTCTACAAACTAAGGGGATGCCGAGCCTAAAGTAGCAAGTCTGTCTATGGCTAGGCTTTTCTTTTTCTTTTTCTTTTTCTTTTTTCTTTCTCTTTTTATCTTTTCTGGGGACGGGTATCCTACGTATATAAATAACTACAGTATCGTCGTGAATGCGGCGGAAATCCGATCAGATTTAAAGCAAAAGTAGGTGTTATAAAGTAGAGAACTTCTCAATTGAATGGAATATTATTAGAGGATCTTTAAAGTCCCTGGGATTTCCGCATCATCCACGATCCTCTAGACTTAGGCGTGTCATAAAAAACTTCTAAAATCGAAATAAAGCGTTTCGGGGTGTGTGTGTGTGTCTGTGTGTGTGTGCAACAAAGTGAGGCTGAGGTGCAAATATCACGTGCCTACTCGATGCCGAACGTGTTGGTCTCCTCGACGGCCAGCAGCAGCTTCTCGTAGAGCAGCTCCGGTGTGGGATACGGCGGCAGGTCCAACCGATTGAAGCAGGTGTGGGCGCGGGGCAGGGCGTTCGGCTTGCCCCATTTCTCGATGCAGAAGCGACGCGGCCCGGTCGAGCCTCGCAGCGCCGAGAAGCCCTCGTACGGAATGCTGGAGGTGCCGGTCACGAACTGCAGCAGGCGCAACCGCTGCTCATTGCTGAAACGCTCGATGACCTGCCAGAACCACACGATCACCTGGTGGTTATCGTGGTACCCAGACCGATACTCCGTATTCAATCGCCAGTCATTGGTGTCGATCTCCGCGGTGCCAGCGATCACCAGCTCCAGTTCGCGGGCATCGAAAACGGAGACGAGCCGCGAGTCCACCACCTCGTAGAAGCCGCGCACCAGCGACTCCGTCTGCTCCTGGACGCCGCGCTCCAAGCGCCACTTGATCATCCGCTCCAGATACTCCTTCTTGTTCTTCTCGTTCACAATGATGTTCTTGCCGCCCGGCTTCAGTTCCCGCTCCACCACACGACCGAGCAGCTCCTCGGTGACGCAGAAGGTCAGTCCCAGATCGACGCCCGTGCCGATGTCATTGTCGCGTATCCACTGCAGCGACTGATGGAACTCGTTGTCCAGCGACTCCAAGTCGCTCAGGGCAACTGGCAGACGCAGCAGCGCCTTGTAGAAGGGTCGCGTGAAGAAGGCGTCCAGCAGGTACTGGTGCACCAAAGCCAATCCCAGGACGCGACCGCTGAAGCGGAACCAATCGTGGCAATTGTCGACGAAGGCCGAGAGCGGCGACACCTGGACCGTGTACGTATCATTGGCGGAGTACTCGAACAATCCGTAGTACGGATTGAACAGCTCGCGGGAGAGCAGGAAGAAGAACTCGCGCGAGGGACCGCCGTAGTCCAAGCCCTCCTCCGTGTCCCACAAGACGGCCAGGCGACCGCGTTGCAGATCCTTCTTGTTGGCCGACATGATGCGACGGAAGGCGTCCTCCAGCAAATGACTGCGACGAATGTGCAGTCTGTAAAATGAATACAAAATAGATTAGTTTGGATTGCCTTGCAGGGTGTATTCCATACTCACTTTAGCTTGTGAGGTCCTTGGCCGTAGCCCTTGGACTCCAGTTTGCGGTAGAAGCTGCGCAGCTTGGCCTCGAAATCGCGACGGAACGGCGGCGGAGCGCGCTGCGGCATCCGGGAACTGAGAACCGGCGATCCCTGCGGACTGCGCTCTTCAATAGGAACATAGCTCATGATCTCCTGCTCGAACAGGCTGCAAAGCAAGGCGGATAATCATGTAGATAGAGAAAACGGTTACAAATTAGTTGCATTCGCTACATCGCGATTAACTACAGTGGGATACAATGGTCATAAATCTATTCTGCTGGTGGCGTCATTTTGCGAACAACTGGCAACTGGCAACTGGCGGTGCCATTGATTGCTCACGGCTAATCCGGCAATTGATTGGCCCACACAAGCTCATCCGACAGCCCGGAAAGGACGCCAATCCGAATATGGAGTGTGCGCTGATAGCGGGCTAAAGGAGATAAATGCGCTTTGGACTTTGGATGCCAACAGTGGGCAGGAATCGATTGGAAAAATTGTAACAAGAGGGGTTTTTACAAATGAGATTTATGCAGAGTGGTGTTTTTTATAAACCCCCTCACATTCTTATATTTAAACCGCATTCCTAGTTCATTAGGTTAACCCAATTCTAAGTTACTAATAATATTCATCGTTATTATTAAAAAATCTTGAATAAAACATCTATAAATAAACTAGAAACCAATTGCTCTTCAAGGTAATTGCAATATGCAAGTTAGCACTCATTCAGACTAAAAGTCATGCGAGTGCATATGTATATATATAACCGATTCCGTTGTGGTGTCGACCCATATTTCCTTTGAATTCATCGGTGATGAAATCAGACCAGAGACGACCAGCGCGAAAGTTCAGGAGGGCAAGTGATTTGTCATAGGCATTAGTATGCGCCTTGAATACATTTCAGAACAGTTTTTTAGCGGCTCTTTCTTCCGCCCCACCAACTGGCCACGCCCACAAGAATCAAATATCGATCGAAAGACCGTCAAAGTCAAAGTTTTCTCACCGCGAGGCGGAAGAATCGCTCGATTTCCAATCAATGCAATCGATTGGGTCAAAGGCGACCTTCGCCCAAAAGTCAGAATAGACTTTTCCTTCCAGCTTTTTTTCTAACCAGACTAACAGACCAATCCATCGATTAACTATACTCCGATTCTAGGTAGTTAATCCATAATTTAAATTGCTATTTGGTTGCGCCTTTTGCTTTTGCGCCGGCGACCTTCAACTTGAAATTGAAAATTGGCCAATTAATAACGCAAATTATGGCGGTCAACCGCAATTCGTGGGGAGTTGAAAAACATATATATTTTCGGTTTTTTTTTTCGAGGGGGGGAGGGGGGTGAATCCGATTGGATCGAACGGATAGTGACAACAGTTTTGGGTGCAATTATCGCCCGCTCGGAAGTGACTAATTCCCCAATTGGTGAGCTCCCCTTCTGCGCTAATTAGCACAACATTTTTTGGCACTTTTATGGCAGATGGATATGGGAACGGATCAATTAATGGCTTGGCTAATACACATGCCGTGTCAAATTACTTTCAAATTGAATGAAAATTCTTGCAAATTATTGGAACAACAGGAAGCTGCAATTAACGCGAATTAAACGCAAAGCGAAAACCGAACCACAACAAAAAAAAAAAAAAGGAAAACTGTTGACACCCACACCATTTCAATTTCAATTTCAATTTCATTTTTAACAAAGAGAACCAGCGATCCCCATTGTTCTGATACTTAAGGGGCGGCCAGGGGGCGTGGCTAGTACGCAGGAATAGCCATAAACACTTGATGCAATCGCTCCAGATTGGCGGTCACTGACTTCGCCGCGAAAGAAAGCCCACAAAAGTGCGGAAATGCTGAGGGATTTACTGCGATAAAGGCGCGTGGCAATTCAAATAGGAGTTATCTGAAGAATGGCTATACTTCTAGGAACGATCAGCCCTTGAGAAAAGTCTGTGTTAAAGGTTCTTTAAACGGAAAGGAAATTCTTGCATTACCATATTTTTAATAATTTAATTAAATGAAATTAGGAACTATAGCTAACTAGCATAGCATAAAATACCCTTTTTGTTTCAATCATTATTTTTTAAAAATCATTGTGTTCACCCCAAACCTCTGTAATTTCCCCCCAAATTGCAAAAATAATTGCATATTATGCGGGAACGCAGAAGCTCTCGGCGATCTCTTCCCTCACTTCGTTTATATTTTTCTATAGTTGCCTATATACTATATACTTCACTTCCCTTCGTATTGTATCGGTATCTGTACTTCCTTTGCACAGCACTCCCTTCTGCATATTTTATCCACAATTTATGAATGCACCACCGACTCTACTCCACTCGATTCGACTCCACTCCCTTCTGCCCCCACATTTGTGCCCGGCGACAACTTCAGAAATTATTCGCTAAATATTTGGAATTGCCGCGAGCTTTTCGAGACGGGGCACTCATAATATGAAATACGATATGAAAGGGAAGCGCTCTTTTATTTATGCTGGTAGTCGGGACAGTAAAATAACATTAACAACAACATATAATAATAATATTGAAGTAAGAGGAGAACAACCAGAACTTGTGGCGACTCACTTACTTCTCCCACATGTGGAAGGTGTAGACGAACTTGGAGAAGATACCCATTTGATGGGTTGTAAATCCGAAATGGATTCTCAATTAGCGGTACACTAAATCCACAAGCCGAAACAAAAACAAAAAAAAAAACAAGAATCACTCGAATCACAATCGAAAACTTTTTGGCTCAAATCGATTCCCGATCCAACTGAAGCAGGCAGGCGACTGAATTGGGTTCCCCATTCGATTCCGTTTGGCTTCAAATTGCACCACCAAGTGCATTGGGGGGGCGGGGAAGAGGGAAGAGGGGGCGGCAGATACCACGATAAGCTGATAAGCGAGGCGGCGATAATGGAGCCTTAACCCATTTAGGGGTTCCACCGACTGTGGGTGTGTTTTTTGGGGGTTAACAAAATTTGACTTACAAATTGATGAAATACATATTTTCAAAGTTTCGGTGAAATGTTTTTTGGGTTTCGAGAATGTTTAATAGAGTTTTAAGAATTTTGTAAATAATTAAAAAGCATTATTTCTTAATTAGGTAAATAAAATAATTAAAATTAAAAAGAGAAATAAGAACCTTTATAAGATCATTCAGAACTGAAAGATGTAATACAAAAATCTTTCCATGTTTTTCAAATAATCTTACTAAGTTTTCAAGAGAATAAATTATAAATGAGTACTTAAATATTGTACCCTCCAATAAATAGTTAAATAGACCTTTTAGGCAATCGAAATCTAATCCGAAATCGTTTAAATTAGTTGCAACACTTTCCCCACAAACCAATTGACCAAGCTACAATTTCGGAAACCCAATACTTGATAACACATAAAGTTAGTGGACAACCCAGCCGAGTAATTGTGCAACATAAACAAACCCACTTGAATCGATCCTTGGGTTTGGGCATCCTATATCATCGAACTATGCAATCGGAGACTCGTCGCAATAGAACCGAAAATGTATGTGATGGGTTCCCACATCCCCAGCACAAATTACCCATAATTTGTGCGAACTGTTTACTCGGCATTCCGCACACAGCATTCCTGCAACTTCGGTGGGGAACTCTAGTTGCATCCCCAGTGGACGCGGTGCTAGCTGCAACGTGGGAATTAAATGGGAGCCGGCAGCTGGAACCCGATCTGCGCCGATAGAAAAAGAATGCAGTGCCGGCGAAGTGGTAAACAAAATCGGATGCAACTCGGTGGCAGGATGTGGAGATTTCGTTCTGCACACGCTGCACTTCTGCGATCCGCTTTTCTGTGGGAAGTGCACGGGAAACGGGAGACTGGCCAATAGATGACCCATCAGATCTGGGATGACTCAAAGCCAAGATATGGGATATTGTGAAATAACAATTAACAAATTAGCAAATAAAAAATAACAATTGCGACTTGGCTAACACATCAACTTAATTCCTCAGTCAACTAATTTATATTGCTATTTGTATTCCTTAGCTAATTAAATGAATTACCATAAGAACTTGGAAAATACTTTTTCCTTGGGATCGCTTGCGAATATGTTTTATACTTGTTTATCAAAAACACTAGTGTGTGTTCTATAAATACGCTAATTAAAATTAGGCTTTAGGAAATGTCAAGAGCCTTTGCACTTTGGAAACACATTTAAAAGGTCAATATTTACCAAATTCTCTTGGGGTGCTTCACAATATTTTATGAAATGTATAAAGAACCCACAACCGATCACTGCATTATCTAAGGGTACTTCACAGCAATACCAATGACTAAACCAGGTTAACCAAGCCCTTTCTGGGGGATCTACCAGATGGTGCTCAAAGGTATTCAGGGGTTGATTGCTGGACAATCTGACGAATCTACTTACACGGCCCACACGATGTAGGCGGCCTTCGAAAGGAAGCCCATTTTGGTTGTGCGCTCGACGAAGCCTTTGGCCCAAATGGTTAACCATCACTGAGATCACCGGAGATCGCGTTCGAATCCTTTTCGGATGGAAGTGCAAAAAAAGGGCGCGAAACTTTTCAAAGGCAAACGTATCGTATCGGGTGGTTTCGTATCGTATCGTATCGTATCGAATCGGTTGGCAAACGGTTATGCTGAGCGGGACGATGTGTGCTCGCGCCGCGGCTGTTGAAACGCTTCTGCTGATAGAAGCTCGCTTATCCGACGCTTCCAACGGAACGAAGTCGCTGCGGAGGCAGAAGCAGCGGCGGCCAAACGAACGGAACGCGACCGCCGGAGTCACAGATAAACCCAATACAACAAACAACAAAAAATACACAAAAAAAATACACAAAAATATATAGAAAAAAAAAATAACACTCAGAGCTCCAAACTCTCACTTTCCAACGGAGTGGTGGTGCTTTATTCTCGACGGGACTATTATGCCCGATCGGATAGGAGTTAGTGGGTAGGTATATGCTACCCCAGTGACCGACGGTTGCAGAATGCTGGCGTTTGTCTAGCCGCCCAGTCGATAAATATGAACTTCAATTCAATTTAAGCGGCAAAGAAAATTATTTAATTATTCGCTGGTTTTGTTTTCGTTCGGTGATTCGTTTTTGTGTTTTGCTCGGTTCTGTTTTTGTTTTGTTTTGTTTTGTTTTTCACTTTTTGTGCAAGGCGGCGCTGCACTGCCCCAAAACGACGTCGCCAAGAGACCCAACCAATTGCCCCTCCAAACTGCAAGTCTCACCGATCGCACAGTGGTCAAGAAAAGGGGTTAAGATTGGGCTTATGTGGACTTAATACAGATAAAGTAGTGGGGAAATTAAAAACATTGAAAAACCTATAACCATATGTAAACCTTTTGGAAATTCAAAAATCTTTTAGATATATAAAGTTCAATATTCTTAAGCCTTTTCAAAAACGATTTAAATTTTCACAACCTTCTAAATAGTGAACAAGAACCTATGATATACTTTAATAAAATTTAATTTATATGTTGATTTAAGAGAAAACTCAAGAAATCTTTGGACCTAAAAATATTTGAATATAAACATGATATCCTGATAGTCTGATATTAACCTAGTTATTGTGTTATTTTTATATAGATTCCCGAACCATAAGGCCCGAGTCCACTGTATCAGCTGTCAGCTGTTGCCGGCATGACTTCGGGTTCGGGATTCCGATTCGGAATCGGATTTGGGTTCGGATTCGGTATCGTTTTCGGTATCGTCGCTCGGTGCCACCGATTTGGATTGAGTCACCCCCACGAGGAGTGCACTTCAAACGATCGACGGCGGCCGACTCCCATTTCCAATTCCATTTCCATTCCCCATCCCATTCCCCATTCCCCATTCCCATTCCCCATTCCCGTTTCCCATTCCCAGTTTAAATTCCGAATCGAATGAGCCCCTCGCGTGGCTTTTGGATGGGTGAGTGTGTGGCGTTGGTCATGGTTATAATTGTTCGCTCATCACTCCGCCACGAGAACCACTCCCACTCCCCTTTTTCTTTGTACCACTCCAATCCCCCCCCCCAACTTAAACTAGGACCACGCCCCGCATTTAGCACGCCCCAAAACGGAAGCCCGGCCACAACAAAAAAAAAAAAAAAACAAAAAAAAAACAGACGAGCAGACCGCAAACAAACGATGGCCACTGTCTAAATGTCGCCATGTGTGCGCCTGCCCCAATGCTCCAATGCTCCAATGTTCCGATGTTCCAATGTTCGAATGCTTGAATGTTCGGGTGCTCCAATGTCTCAATACTCCCCATTTCCCAATCGAAACTGCACGCATGCGCAGCCGCCCAAAAACCCAATGAACTGTAAACAAACAACAAACAGCAGCAAACGGCAGCAGCTAAATAAGAAACAAAAACAAAAAAAAAAGCGAACGTTCCCTTCTACGGGTCAAATTTAAACGGCAAACAGCAGTTAACCCAACTCCACCGCCAACTTCCCGCTCCAAAAATATCAAATGGTAATGCCAATACCCTAATTAGTTAATAATATCTAATGGTTCTAAACTCTTATCGGTCTTTTAAGTCTGGCAAGTGACTGCTTAAATAAACTGCATATAATGCTCAAATTGGTGTAAGATTTATAAGAATATGTGTAAAAGGTTGCTTTTATACCTTTACTTTAAATGATTGTGGAGATATTTAGAACAGTTTGAATCTAAAGAGCATTGTTGATACACGAGATTCAATAATGATTATATTTATTAACTATTATTATTTTATTTATTTTATTTTTATTATTTTACAATTAGTTTGATATAATTTTTTAAGCTATTTAAGCTTCTTAAGATATTATATATACCCCATAAGACGGTCATTCGAAAGGCCAACTGTAAAGTTGTCAATGCCTCGACGACGGCGACGAAGTTCAATGATGACGATTACAATGAGTCTACAACGAGGGTGCCGATGATAATGATGATAATGCTGGCCGATGTCGATGATGACGGCACGGCCACACCCCCGCAAAAAAGAAGGAGAAGGGGAAGGGAAAGGAGAAGGAGAAGAAAGAGGAGCAGAGGTGGAACTCCCAACTGGAGTTTCTATTGTGGCACAGCTACCATTCGCTCCCCGTTTGGCAAATAATAAATTATGCTTCATTTGGAATTGGGTTAAATTGGGAGCCGGGCGAAGGGGGAAATGAATTGGCGGATTAGATGTGGAGTGCCATATTTTATGGGGCAGCTGCTGCGGCTTTAGGGCGTTGCCCTGACCGACGGGGGGGCGTGGCTGCCCCAAAGATGGAATGTCCCATCAGGCAGTAAACTCCGATATCCCAGATCGCTCAATATAAATATAAATTCTAAGGCTTGCAGTTATTTATACTTCTCCAGTAATTAAACAAAGCAAACATTTAATCAACTGGCGAAATGTGCGGACAACTAGTATTTGCCTTTGCTCTTGGTTGTCTTCTTATTCATTTCGCATTTCATTTAAAGTTGAATGTAAAGAAGAAGAAGAAGATAGGGGGGCTGGGGGGGTGGTGTTACCTCATCGCATGAGTAATGGCCAAGTGCAGATTGTCTGGGGCTGCAAATTCTGATCTAAGCCTCCCCAACGCCAAGTTGTGCAATCCAAGTTGTTCTGAAACGCGTCACCTGTTTTTGTTTTTCCCCCGCAATTGGTTACCAACTATGCTTGTGTCAATACTTTTCCCAACTAGCTTGTTAACTTTTGTTCCTAACGATGCAACAGATTCGAAATGGGCAACTCGACAGATGGATCTTTTTAATTTTGATTGTTTTTTGATTTACGAAAGAAGAGAATCGGAACTACAGTCGAATCCCGATAATTCGTACCCCGCTAAATCGAAAATCGCGATAATTCGTAAAAAATTCTGTTCCCTTGAAAAAAATCCCTTGAAAAAATCTCGATAAATCGAATTCCCGTCTAATTCGTAAAAAAAAGTGATCCCCTTGCCATTTCGAATTATCGGGACTCGACTGTATATAAAATTCGGTGATAAAAAAATGCATGACACATAAAGATCATAATTATAAAATGTTAGAATTATAACAATCAAGATTCAAATCTCTTAAAAATAGTAAAAACTTGAGCTTGAATGCAGAAGTAAATTGGTTGTTTTTTAAGGTTTAGGGATCCTGATTTATATATCAGACATCCTGATTAATATATTCTCACATTTTACACAAAATATTTTCTTTCCAGCAAACTTGAAGCCAAAGCAAAAACTCCCACGGCTCATTTTCAAATTCCGCGAGCGGGCCAATGAAGCGCGAAAATTTGGCTAATTGAAATGCAATTAAATGGCTCGATCGGAATGCAAATCCAAATCGGAATTGTTAGTGGCCGGAGTAATCGACAATTTCAGAGAGCTTGAGAGGCGCCGCCATAAACTGTCGAATGTTGTTTTCCATTCTGCTGCCACCGCGATTGGGATTAAGATTAAAATTATGAATAAGATTAAGGTCAGCAGCACTCCAAGCAACACATGGATGCCGGCCAATTGGCGGACTGCAGTTCCTCAATTTTAGTGGTCGACGCTTTGAAGAAACACGCTCAATTAGACAACAAGCAATGAGATTAGAAGCCAAGACGAAGTGATAGCCTTGCCGTGGGTTACTTGGCTTACTTGGTTGCCTACTTGGTTGCTGGTCGGTTAGTCCGTCCGATTGCTTTGTTTTTGTTTTTGTTTTTGGTGTGGACGTGTTTGGCGTTTTGGAAAATTAGCCAACAACCTTCGACACGGTTTTCAAAAGCAATTAAACCCACTATTACCATTAAGCCCACTGGCTAACTCATATGCGGAGCACTCAAGCAGGACCGCCGCCAAAATCGATCGTGGCTAAAAAGAATTAGCTCTAAATCAACACATCAACACATATACAAACAATTGCTTTGCAGAAGCGAATCCAAGCCGAAGTACTCGTAAATCATTCCGAGCCGAGGAGAATGACGCAGCAGTGCAATTTCAGGCCAGGTGGACTCGACCTGGCTGTGGGACCTTCGTCAAGTGCAGGTGGAGCCATTGGCTGATGGCCATTGGCGGTGCGTCATGTGAGCGGGACAATTGTTTTTGCCGCAGGTTCATTAGCACCACGGCACCTCCGAGGGCTTCCAGCTGTCTGGCAGGTGGAATAAGCTCAATATCACGCAAATTGTTCGATTTGATTTGAAGTTCAATTGATTCAATATATATTGATTGGTCAAGGACTAACTATGAACTAGTGGTGCTTTAATAGCCACATTTCAATATAACTATAAGTGACTTTGCATTAAAACCAATCCTTCAAAGAAACGATGACACACGAGGGAAGTTTAAAGCCCCACATCTCCCTCCCCCTATTTTTCAGGACACTCACCTCAGCAAAATGGTCAGTTGTAGGTCATGGCCCAATCTCTCGAGAGCGGGAACTCCCTCCACCCGCAGGATATTGATTTTTTCACGAAGCGGACGGGACATTGTGTGCTGGCCCTGCCGTTCTCGCAGGATCTCCAGGATGTTCGGCTGGCGCAGGAAGGCAATGACCTAAAAATTGAAAAAGGGATTCATTTAAAGAACAAGCAAAATATTCAAAGGGTTAAATAGATAAATACGGATAGGAAACCAAACTAAAGCTCTTTCTTTATTTTAAAATAATAAATACTTTTTGTATAGATTATAGCACATAGAAACAGATTTTTAATTCTTCTCATTCCTTTTAAAACAGGATCATGAACTCACCTTTTCGTTGTAGGCAATGGGCACATCCTCGTAACCGGCTGCAGTGGCTCCCATTCCAGCCGCTTCGTTCGCTGCTGCGCGGGAGTTCAGGCTGAAGGCACAGGCGATGGCCGCCGTCGTGGTGCAGTTGTGGCCATGTCCATGGCTGCTCCTCGCCGATGAGGCCGACGACGACGACGACGGCCTTGGCGGCGGCAGAGGCGGCACTCCCGACACCGAGGAGCCCGGACTGGCGTTAATATGGCCACTGGTGGCCGACAGGCAGTTGCCATCCGTCAGATCCGGATAGTAGTAGCCCACGGTGCCCGGCTGCTGCTGGGGATGCTGCTGTTGCTGGGGATGCTGCTGCTGCTGCTGCGGATGCTGCTGGCGATGGCGCACCACCCGCGGACACTCGACTGGGAGGCGGGGATCCATGAACGAGGTCCGCCGGTGCTGGTGATCGATGAAGAACTGCTTGCCCGACTGGTCGAGCTTCGTCTCCCAGCACGAGGGCAGCTCCCTGCCCATCTGGGCGAAGGTGTTGACCAGCGCCACCAGATCCTTGTTGTACTGATACCGCTGGAAGCACTGCGGATCCCGGCGTATCCGCATGACCATGTGCTTGAGCGCCGCATTGCGATTGTAGATGGCCAGCGCAGCCTCGTTGGTGTGCAGCAGCGAGTAGAAGTCCGGGCGGCAGAGCATCAGGATGGCAGGGTGGATAGTCGAGGCGGGTGGCGGGACAGCTGGAGGAGCAGCGGGATTGCCACTGCTGTTCGCCGCCGCCGACGCTGGCAGATTGTAGAGCTGCGCGGCTCTGCTCTCGTTGGTGATGGTGCGCCGGATGCTCTGATACCGCCGGTCCAACTGCTGGCGATGATGCTGCTCCCTGCCCGCCGGTCCACCACTGGGCGCCGCTCCCGGTCGCTGCCAGGAGGTGGTGCGCGTCGTGTGATCAATGTAGAAGATGCGTCCATGGCTGTCCATGCGCGCCTCCCAAGCTGGCGGCAGTGGTGGCTCTCCCGCGGCCCCGGCTCCGCTTGATCCCGACACGGAACACGATCCCGGTTCCATGAGAGCGGCTCCAGCTCCGGCAGCTGCTGCTGCTGCTGCTGCCGCCGCCGCTGCTGCGGCTGCACTGCGCTCGGGAATGGAAGGCAAGCGCGTGCTGCTGATGTGCACCACCTCGTCCGGCGGCTCCTGGCTGCCACCCTGCTGGCCGCCATCCTGGCTGCCGTCCTGCAGGTAGATGTAATCCAATTGACTAGATGCGGCTGGCGGATCCGTGGGGATCGGTCCGCCGCTGGCGAGGCTGGAGTTGGCAGTGACGGCTTGCAGGCGGGCATGCCGACGGGCATGATGAGTGGGAGTGGGCGGGCAGACCAACGGCGATCCACTGGCTCCTCCTCCCGTTGTACCAGCTCCGGCTCCGCCGCCCACGCGTTTGAGCAGCCTCTGCTGCGGCCGTTGGCCATGGAATGTTGGCGTTCCCGGCGGCACCGCCTCCTGCAGTGCCCCGCCCACTCCGCGGCCCCTGGTGGGCGAATGCTGCTCGGGACTCAGGCTGAGGTCCAGCGGCGAGGCACTGCGCGTCGAGCAGCCCGAGGGAGGACTCCGCTGTCGCTTTGGCGAGAGCAAAAGACGTGGCGAAGCCTGCTCCTCCGATGAACTGGCCTTGCCATTGGAGAGGGCACGGGTGAGCGGACGGTGCTGACGCAGATACGGAAATTGCAGACTATTCGGCGACGAGGACGAGGAGCCAACACCCGAGGAGCTGGGGAAGGTGGGGAACTCGTAGCTCTGATGGACCGGCACCTTCTGTGTGCTTATTGTGTTTATGTAGCTGTCCGGTCCGATCTTCTTCTTCAGCAGCGGCTTGAAACGCACCGGCGGCGTGGCCAGTGGTGAGTTGTTGGAGCTCCCGCTGCCCGGATTCATCTCCTCGGCCAGCCGCTCGTCCGTGTCCAGAATGTCGAACTGGAAGACATCGCCCTGGACCTTGAGGTCCCGACCAACGGCACGCGGCGGCCAGGATCGTTCCAGCGGTCGATGCTGTGGCGGCGAGGGCTGTCGCAGATGGTGATGGTGTGATTGCAGCTGCTGCTGTTGTTGCTGCTGCTTCTGCTGCTGCTGACGACGCTGCACATGGGCACTGGCCTGTAGGGCAGCGGCTGCTCCAAGCAGACTCTCGACGGCAGCCGCCTCTTCATCCTCCTCTTCCTCCTCGACCTCTTCATCGACTTCGGCCATGCTCAGGGTGTCCACCATCTCAGCGGGCACGGTTTCGAAGCATTCGCGTGCCACCCAAAGGTTGAATCCGTCGCCGTTCGCATTGGACAGTGTTGAAGCAGCTGCTCCCGCCTTAGTCTTTTTCTTCGCTCCACTCAGCGGTGTGGAACCGCCACTTTGGGGCGACAGCGTCCAGGATTTTCGGCGCGCACCTCCGCCCACACTACTGCCGCCATCGCTACCAATGCTACCATTGTAGGAATTGGTGGGCGAGAGTGTGGCGTTGTTGGCCGGCGTCTCGCAGGATTTGGTGGAGAGCAGAGTTTGATGGCGGGGCTCCCTGTGCTCCTTGGCCTCCGATGGCTTCTCATCTTTGGGAGCTAAATGTTTGGAAGATGCGTAAGTGTTTGGTTTTTGGATGGTAATTTAGTAAAACTCACATGGGTCATTGGGCTGGGCCAGTGCGCAGGCCCCCAGCTGCTCCTCATCGTTTATGTTTCCAGATGAAAGTGGGGACTCCTCCACCTCGCTGACACTCACCTGAACATCGTTGGCCAGAGCAAGAGCGCTTTGGAAGGCCTGTTCCAGTTCGTCGCTTTCGTTGCCATTGCGCGCCTCGTAGAAGGCCTCCTCCTGATCCTCCTTGGGATCATCCTCATCTTCATCCTCCTCGTCGTCTTCTTCCTCCTCCTCCTCCTGCTCCTGCGACCTGGCAGCAATCGGATCCGTTCGATTTCTATCAGCCAGGCAGGATGAAGCTGCAGCCAAGGGCTTTAAAACAACTGGAGCAGCTGGTGGCTCCATTTTAACCACCTCTCCGATTTCAGATGTGCTTCTCTGCTTGGCGTCCCCACCTCACTTCCTCTTCCTCTCGGCCACCCCTGCCAACACCACCCTCGCGCCTTGCCCAGGTTTAATAGTTACAGTTACAGTTGCAGTTGCTCTACTTTAACGTTGTGCCGTTTTTTGCTGCCTTCTGCCCTGCGCATTTCACGCCGGCCAGCCATTAGTGCTGTTTTTCTCCTGTTTCGCCGTGCTCCACTCACTGCCCGCAAGGCCGGGGCGCTCGTTTTAGTTTATCAATTGTTAATTAAAGTTGCTAAAAAATATTTTGGGAGCCAGTATGACCGGATGGCAATGTGGTAGTTTACCACCACGCTGCAACGGTATCACAGTTCGCTATGCAGAGTGACCGCATTTTGTGAGGATTTGGTTGCCCAAAACGATCTGGCAACGCGTGAGTGTACTTTTGTGGCGCTTTCGGCACATTTGTAATTTCTTGTTCTTGCTTCCAGAAACCCCGGAATAACCAGGAGAGCGAACTAATTCCGCAACAGCATGGCCGCTGCAACTGGAGAACTGTCCAAGAAGTAAGTGCCCGTGACAAAGGACTCCCTGCATATTATTATCCGGCCAACGCAGCAGCCAATTGAGGTTAAGGCGAGGCGGCAACGTTCCAGTTTTCTATTGGTGTTGCGGCTGATGAAACATTGGTGCTTAAAATAACAATGTTAGCCCGCTGCGCCCTGAAAACGCTGCAGTTGGCGTGGCCCAGATCCGGCAATCGAATTTGGTCGCCGGCCAGCGGCTTCCACGTGAACGCCTGTCAACTGCAACCAAGCAAGCAGACCAAACTGTGCGTTACTCATTCGCCGCGCTGGCCAGGCTGTGATACCTACAAGGATTTCGCTTTTGAAAAGTGTTCCCTGGAGTTATGACAGCCTTTTAGGCAGAATCAGCATAGCCCTATTCATGCCTATTAATTGCAAAACCTCTTCTTTTTCAGTGAGCTGAAACGCCGCCTGAAGGCCGAGCAAAAAGCCAAGGAGAAGGCCGAGAAGGCAGCAGCTGCTCCTGCGGAAGGTGCTGCCGGCAAGAAGAAGAGCGCCGCCGCTGAGGAGGAAGAGATCTCGCCCAACGAGTACTTTAAACTCCGTTCGGCCGCCGTGCAGGAACTGAAACGTTCCCCCCGCCACGGATCCCTATCCACACAAGTTCCATGTGAGCAGCTCGCTGGAGGCCTTTATTGCCAAGTACGAGAGCCAACTGAAGGATGGCGAGACCCTCGAGAATGTCACCCTCAGTGTGGCCGGCCGTGTCCATGCCATCCGCGAGTCGGGGGCCAAGCTCATCTTCTACGATCTGCGCGGCGAGGGAGTCAAGGTTCAGGTGATGGCCAGTGCCAAGTCATACAAGTCTGAGGCGGAGTTCGAGACCGACACCGCCAAGCTAAGGCGTGGCGACATTATCGGCGTGGTCGGTCATCCCGGCAAGACCAAGAAGGGCGAACTGTCGGTGATGCCCACCGAAATCAAACTGCTGTCGCCCTGCCTGCACATGCTGCCCCATCTGCATTTCGGCCTCAAGGACAAGGAGACGCGCTATCGCCAGCGCTACCTTGATCTCATACTCAACAACAAAGTGCGCGAGAACTTCCAGATCCGCGCCAAGGTAACAAATGACTGAATAATCTGAATAACTGTAATACTAAAGCATTCTTATATCGATTTTCCCCCAGATTATCTCGTACGTTCGTCAGTTCCTGGATCGCCTGGGTTTCCTGGAGATCGAGACTCCTATGATGAACATGATTGCTGGTGGCGCCACTGCCAAGCCTTTTGTAACGCATCACAACGACCTCAAGATGGATCTGTTCATGCGCATCGCTCCAGAGCTCTACCACAAGATGCTGGTGGTGGGTGGACTCGATCGCGTGTACGAAATTGGACGGCAGTTCCGTAACGAGGGCATCGACCTCACCCACAATCCGGAGTTCACCACGTGCGAGTTCTACATGGCGTATGCGGACTATGCCGACATTATGGACATCACTGAGCAATTGGTCTCGGGAATGGTGAAGGCCATTCGTGGATCCTACAAGGTCATCTATCACCCAGAAGGTCCAGAGGGACCCGAACAGGAACTCGACTTTACGCCGCCCTTTAAGCGCGTCTCCATGATCAAAACGCTGGAGGAGAAGCTGCAGGTGAAGTTCCCTGCCGCCGACACCTTCAACACGCCGGAGACGAATCAGTTTCTGTCGCAACTGTGTGCCAAGCACCAGGTCGAGTGCCCCGCTCCACGCACCACCGCCCGCTTGCTGGACAAGCTCGTGGGCGAGTTTATTGAGGAATTCTGCGTGAATCCCACGTTCATCTGCGAGCATCCGCAGATCATGTCCCCGCTGGCCAAGTACCATCGCAGCATTCCCGGCCTGACGGAGCGATTCGAGCTGTTCGTGGCCAAAAAGGAGATCTGCAACGCGTACACTGAATTAAACGATCCGGTTGTGCAGCGCGAGCGCTTCGAGCAGCAGGCCAGTGACAAGGCGGCTGGAGATGATGAGGCCCAGCTGGTCGACGAGAACTTCTGCACGTCTTTGGAGTACGGATTGCCGCCCACCGGTGGCTTTGGAATGGGCATTGATCGACTAGCCATGTTCCTTACGGACTCCAATAACATCAAGGTGGGTCTACGGTTCTTTCTCTCATTTGGTATCTTTGCTAAATTGTATTTCTGCTTCAGGAGGTTCTTCTGTTCCCCGCCATGAAACCGGAGGAGGCCAACCGCACGACAACTGAAACTGCGCCTGCCGCCCAGCAGTAAAAGGTCACCGCATACTCCACTCAATCTTAATCCTTGTACGTTACGCTGATCCCGGGCTAGTCCCAGTTGCTAAGTTATTCAAAGAATAAACCTTTTATTTTCCAATATGTGTGTATTCACTTCATTTGTTGGGTCAATTAGAAAAGTTATGGACAATGGGTACATTTTCAGCAAACCCATTTTTTTGTGTTTCCTTCACTGCGTTACAAACTTCTGACTGAAATTATAATACTCACTGCAAGGGTATAAAAAGGTTCTTAACTAGGCTATCCGCTGATATTGCCATTGGGCATATTGCAATTGTTGCCCTGCGGTCACACTGGCAGGAAAAGCCAAATGAAAACATCGGTGGAAATCGTGGAAATTGTCAATTAATTGGTAATTAAACGATGGGGGACCAACAGCAACTGATCCTGGCCACCGGTGGCTACGACCACACAATCAAGGTGTGGCAGGCCCACACGGGAAATTGCATAAAGACGATGAGATTCGTTGAGACTTCGGTGAGATTAGTGTGAAAAAAGCCGACAGAGAAACTCACATCTACCATATTTTTATGGATATATTATTTTAGCAAGTTAATGCCTTGGATAGAACGCCGGATAAAACACGTCTGGCGGCGTGTGGCTATCAGTGCATCCGGCTGTACGATCTGGAGTCCAATTGCACCGCTCCGGTGATCAATTTTGATGGGGTGCAAAAGAATGTGACACGGCTTGGTTTCCAGGAGGACGGCAATTGGATGTTCACCGCCGGCGAGGACCACAATGTGCGAATCTGGGACATGATCTCCGCTCCACCGCATTGTTCCCGAGTGTTTGACTGCGAGGCGCCTGTTAACGCCGCCTGCTTGCATCCCAACCAAGTGGAAATTGCCATGGGCTCACAAAATGGCAGCGTCTTTCTGTGGGACGTCAAGTCTGAGCGTCACGAACGAATTGTGCCCGAGGTGGATGCCTCCATTCAGGATGTGGCTATCTCGCCGGATGGCAGATATCTGGCGGCAGCGAATAACAAAGGAAATTGCTATATCTGGTCAATGACCAGTCAGGATCAGAAGATGAGCACGCTGAAGCCAATGAAGATAATCCATGCGCACACCCGCTATATCCTGCGCTGCAAATTCAGTCCAGACTCGGGGCTCCTGCTGACAACTTCGGGCGATGGAAAGGTGGGCATTTGGAACACCATTAACTTCAAAAAGTGGGGAGAGCTGTGCATCGAAAACTATTGGGTCTGGGATGCCGCCTTCAGTGCGGACTCCAAGTACCTCTTCACCGCCTCCTCTGACGGCATTGCGCGGCTGTGGAAACTACAGCAACAGGAGTCAAATGATCTTGTCAGGGAATATACAGGCCACACCAAGGCGATCACTGCACTGTCCTTCAAGGACGAAATTGTGGGCAAGTTGTAGTAGCTAGTCGCTAGAATCTAGCCAATTTGTAAGCTTTGTGGCCAGCGCGTCACTGTCGGAAGTCCTGCTAAGTTGATTGTCTCCAGGTGGCCGGCGATTTTGCGGATCTTCAGCTGGGTTTTCTTTCTCAAAAGCAGCAAGAACTATTGAGGATAACCTTTTATACTGATTTAAATTAGGTGTTGCTGAATAATGGTAATATACTTCTGTAAATTGATTAAAAAGCTAATTTTATATCGATTTTAAAAATAAGTGTATAGGTGAAATCAAATTGTATCTGCTGTTTAATCTTATAACATGCAACAGGTATCCATACTTATATTTCAACGGCATTTAGGTAATGAAAAGACTAGTCTTTCTATTTTTTGTTTCCGCTCATAGTAGAGAAATATATGAGAAGCCTTCATTTAAATGAACTTAAGTAGTCTCAAAAGTGTTAATTTACAAATAATTCGCTAATTTCCAGACGAGCCTTATGCCAAAAGCATTTTATTTAGTACAAACTGCCAGTGATGCTCAAAAAATCTTGAATAACTTGGCTTCATCGAATTTCCGTAGACTCTCAAAATCGATAGATAATCCACAGACCGCCAACCGAGCGAGACAATCTCTCAAGGAAAAGGCCCCCAGGCTCTGGTACATAATTTGGTAATCTTTGGAAGCAGTCAGTCACTCCACACACACAGCACACCAACCAGAACTGAAGCATCATCGAAACACAACACCAGCAATTCAACAGAGAAATGAGAATACCTCTGAAAATGAGCGCTTGGCTTTTGTAGCGACTTTTTCATAATTTATAAACCTTTGATACATAATTATATTACGACTAAACCGTGTTTATGCAAAATGCAATTTGAATTAAAATATTAAGGGCATAAATATACATTCAATACAGACAAATCAAAAAACAACACTATCTTTTAGATAATAAAATGAAAAGGGGGAGCAACACAGATAAGGGAAATTGACTTTCTTCGTTTGGTTGTCTTCGTTTTTTTTTTTTAAGTGGACGGGAGAAGGTGATGCTGGAAAAATACTAGTCCACATAGTCGATGCCCTGGGCAACAATGGATTCCTTAATGGGATCTGGGTCGTCGCCCAGCTTGTAGCCCACGATGCAGGTAACATCCACGGCCTTGCCAGTGGGATTCAGCAGGAGCATTACCTGGTTAATGGGCGTGGCCGGGCGAAAAGGCTTGTGGGGCGGCATTTGGCTGTCCGTCGGTGGCAGCAGGCGCACCTTGCATGGCTAAGGGTAATGTTCGATTAGTGTTCAAGTTATTGTTAATGTTATAATCATTCTTAACTAACCTTCTTCACGCTGGCCTCGAACTGAAAGTCGTGTACTGGCTGGCGGCTCTTGTTCTGGGCCGCTATCACAATCACCGACACACGATGGCCGGGCCGCTCGCTGGTGAAGTTCAGACTGAGCTGCATGTCGTCGTCGTCTAGAACGATGCGCTGCTCGCCGGTTGCCTGGATGTTGTCCAGTTCCACGTGAATCTCGCTAAGCGGCTTTACTTGCGGAACAACCGCAACGGGAGCAGCCGCCACTGTAGGCTCTTCCGGTTTCTCGACAGCATCGCTGAGCAAAGGAACATCGTCGATGGAATCAACAGGAGCAGGAGTTGGATTGGCAACCACAGCAGCAGAACCACTCGCTTCCTCTTCCGGGGCCTTCACCTGCATTTTTTCGCGCGCCAAATCATTGAGCGTCAACTTCTCGGGATCGCGTTTAAAGCTGGCCATCCTCTCCTGAGTGGGCAGGATCTGCTGAAAGAGCTCCTCGCTTAGCATATCGATTTGGGGCATCTTTCTGGCCGTTCCGGGTATTTTACTTGAGTCGGTTCCATTGCCGTTGGCCAAACCCTCGGTGGTGGCAACTGGACTCAAAACTTGCGGTTCCAGCAAAGTGCTGGCATTCTGGAATTGCTGCTTCTGCTTGGACTCACTTTCGGCCAGTGCGCTGCTGAAGATGTCACTCAAATCCGCCAGGGGATCTCCTCCAGTGGCCGTGGAATGGGATGTACTAGTGGCAGTTGTTGGCATCGTTGCAGTGGCCGAAGCGTTTTCGCTGTTCCCGCTAATCAGCAAATCCCCCAGAAGTTCATTTAGCAGCAGGGCATTGTTGGAGCTCGTGGCTGTGGTCGAACTGGATGTGGCCTTGCCAGTGGATGTGGATGTCAAAGTACTCGTGGTCAGGACAGGAGCAGTGCTTTTCGTCGGCGAGGGCACCAATTGCTTATAGCGCTGCATGGTGGTCAGAAGAGCGCCATTGGCATCCAAAGTGTCAGCTGTAGATAGGGATAAAACGATTAGGAGTCATATTTTTTCTTTAAATAGTTATTTTGTCTTTCCATTTTTTGCATACAAGGCAGCAAAGGTTAACTTTCAATTTGGGAAATTGATTTTCTTATCTTTCCCACCCGACAAGCGGAATTTGATCTAGTTGTTCTAAATATATCGCTTCTTTAAACTTGATAACAATAAGAACTGGTGGGAAATGGCCAGTAAACACTTTTCTACTGTATACATGATACACGATCTCTTTTGAGCTCGAGGCTCAAGCCATTAATAAACAAGTGCTTCTGTTTAGATTGATAAACAGCAGATTACGATCTAAAACCTAACACCCTTTTTGTTTGCCTGAACTGATAAGTTTACTGTCTCCGGGCTTATATCATCGAGGAAGCCCAAACTCACCTACAAGCTTGGTATCCGAATCGTCCAGCAGCTGCGGCAAATGCTGAAAGATGGGCTTGTGCTTCTTGCAGCTCTTGTAGAGCTCGTGCAGCGTCTCGTTGACGTCCTGGTTCGAGGGATCGTAGGTGTCGAGCATTTGGTTGAGTAGCTGCATCGTCTCCTGGACCTCGCTGAGTACCAGACGATGTTGGGCGAGCAGATCATTGCGGCGAGCCTCTTGCGCCATTCGATATTGCAGCAGAAGGTTGGCCCGCTTGAAGTTCTCCGGGTTATTGCTTTTGATCAGCTTGGCGAACATGGCCTCGTCGATGGTGCCCAGGACACTCTCTCTTTTGGCCACCGCCGCCTCTGTTGTGCCGTGCTCGATATCGCCCTCCTTGCGCAACATGTCGTAGGCATCGCGAATCTTCTGGCGTTGCGGAAACTCCGTAGTCCACAGGAGGAGGCACTCCATGATCCGCTGCTTAACCTCGTGCGGCGTCTCCGCACCCTTGTACTTTTTGGACACCAGGCGAATCAGTTCGTTGAGAAAGCGGAATTTGGCGGCCTCGTCCTGAAAGTCGTCACCGCACTGCGTCATGCATTCTTCAAGCAGCTGAAAGAAGTTGATGAACGTAACTATTTACTCAGATGTCGTCGAAAAAGAAGAGAAAATTAGTATGGCTTTGAGAACATAAAGCGGTTGATTGGATTAACCCTTTGTTTATAAATAATGGAAAAACAAAGCAAGCAGATATAAAGTTGACGATCCCGAAAATTACGAACATACCGCTATCTGTTGCATACACATAAGCAAGCATTTTGACCACAATTGATAACAATTACGAATGGAAGGCAGCCACATAAGTGCGTGTGTTGGTGTTTGTGCGCTTTTCGCCAATTTTACAGCCCACTGTGTGTCGGTGTGTGCCGGTCTGTGTGAATCTATGTGAGTGTGGCTTTTATTCTTTCCCCCATATACACCCCTTTACCGTTAGGCTAGAGTGGGTGTGCAATGGGAAAAGCTGGGGAAGTGCAAAATGAAGAGTAATCACTCACCGAAATGGCTCGAATCGCCTCCGTTGTATTGGATGAACGCACCTTGGCCACAATCATTTCCTGGGCCTTATGGACCAACTGAGCGTTACTTTTAACCACAATACAGAACATTTGCACGCCCAATTCGTCGATTTTTTTTGCCGGATTTGTTGCTCTTTCTATGGCAAAGGAAGGAGGAAGAAAAAGCTTAATTCCTGGCGTTTCTAGTTCCCTTCGCCGGTCTTTAGGCCTTACGTACCCAGCATCTCCTCCATAATGCTCTCGTCGGTTGTCATTGTGCGGCCGGTTCTAGCGTTCAATTACTAACTGGGGGATAAACAATATTTGCGGTGATTTCGAACAACCGACATATTGTTGTTTTTGTTGCTTGTCTCTTCTCGAGATGGGATAACCACTCGTGACACTATCGATATATCTTGGGTCGGAGCTTACGGAACAGTATCGATGTTAAGCTTTGTTAACTGCAAAAACTTTTTAGTTTCTGAAGTTAATTTCTCTATAATATACTAATAATTATTGTCGAAATTTTTTAAGTAACACTATTTCTATAAAGTTGCTCAAACTATCAATATTTAAACAAAAATGATATTGTTAAATATACAACGAAATATACTGAATGGGGCTGCCACATTAAGAAGCGCTGCCAGCTTTATTTGCGAGACAACACGACATTGCCACATTGTTTTCTTTGAAATCCGTTACCTTTTGAAAGCACACTCATTAAAATTGCTAGCCGTCTCTTAAATTTGGAACTTGGTGAAGTTCAATTGTTTCAATAAATTTTTTTGCTGTGGCTTAGTAATCTTTACAAACCCCACGAGTTGTGAGAGAACCAAGAGTCCACCATAAGCAGGAATTTCAGACACCCTTATTAAAATTTCTTTCTTTAATAATTTCCCCCTAATCAGTTGAATGTCGAGTGTCGTCAGACCTCAAGAAGTACAAATGCGAATTCATTAACATACAAACGCAATGCCTGCTTATGTAAGGAAATGCAAACACGTGGAGGCGTATATGTGTGTGTGCGTAGGCAGCAACCTGTGGCCATTTCACCTTAAGTTAACCTTTCAGCAGGACATCGCGCAGGCGCTCGCCAGCGGCTGCTAAAATTAGAAGCACTTGCATCATCATCTCGACGGGGAGTCAAAATTGTTGGCCAAGCGGTTCACGTGGTGGTAGGGTCGAGGTGTTTAAATACTCATTATTCGCAGGGTATATTTGAAGGGGCCAAAATATCTAAAGCTTTAAATTCCTTTCATGAAATGTGCCAGCAGGATAACTTGAGACTAAAGGCAGATGAAATATGCATTTTTAGGAGCTATTGAGCCTAAAGGTTATTGTTATTTTCCGTACAATTTTCATAACCAATACTGTTTGGGGAAATTGATTGTGCTTGTGTTTTCCCTAACAAAAAAAGTCGCCTTAAGGTAGGCTACATATTTTGTAGCAGGTAACTTTTATTCGTGGCTTGAACTTTTTCGTTATTTTTTTTATTTTTTTATCGTATTTTCTGCGTTTGGCAACACGTGCAGCACTTATACGAACACACACTCGCGTAGGAGGCTCGTCACCGGCCTGCGCATGTGTATTGGTCTGTCGGTGTGGGCCGCTAGAGAGAGCCACTCTCTTTTTTCTCTTGCCCTCTGATAAAACTGTTATACCAAAACCAGTTTACATGCGCCGCCGCGTATAACAAACAAACCCTCTGCTAGCGTCGCTGTTCGCTCTGCTCTGCTCAAAAAGGACAAACTCAAGGGCAAAACTCAATGGAAGCTAGAAAAAAACAATAATATAGAAGAAAAAACAACAATTACGGCGAGTGTGTCTTGCAGCAATTTCGTACGCCTGACTTTGATAAGTTCGCCTTGATTACCATACTCGGGCATACATTGGCTATACGTATTGGACCCTAATATTAATACTAATTCTAGATTACACAATCGGTCCCGGTTTTTGTATCAAGTTTTTCCCGTTGCCACTCCCACGCAGTTTGTTGTTGGGAGAGGATTCGGCGAGTGGGTTGAGTGAGCGTGTGTGGGCGCCGACTGACACACTTTTGTCCTCCTATTTCTCTTTCTCTCTCTCTCTGTTCCTCTTCCTAATCGCCCCTTCTCTTTTCTTCGCGTGGGCGTGTTGGAGCCTGCCCTTTGAGGTTATGTTCTCTGGTTGCATATTTGAGCGACTTCCATTGATTAACCATCAACAAGCGACAAAAACAAAAAATGGTTAAACTATCTCTATCTGTCGCCCGCCCTTTGTTAAGTGTCGTTATTGATATTGATTGGCATTGCCCGGCGCAGCCAAACTTTTCCACGCACGCAAACAGCTGGCGTTTTACCATTATCGTTGGCAAACAAATACCCGTTACGATAAGTTGTACCGTTATAGTAACCAAACAAATGTCTAGTACGATCAATTTAACCGTAGATATAACCAAGCAAATATCTCTTACCATACATTTTACCTTATTGATAAAGTTTAACGTTTTATATTGTCATCCGATTCGCAGAAAGCAAGAGAGAATGCAATTTAAACCAACATCGTATGATTTAAGAAAGGAAATAGGTAATCAAAGACAAACCCATCTATTTTTGGTAACATCAGTTAAGCTTTCAAGAATGTGATCGGAATGGCACCCCCACCGAGCCACTTGAGATCCCAAGGTTATTGGAATTATATGGGTACAAGTGAACGACGATCACATTCCGTATTGCACCTGTAGGCCGTAAAATATAGCCGCATCCGGAGTCTGGAACTTAACGCTTATCGGGCGGGGGGCCAAAAACCGATCGAATTCCCCCGATAGGGAAAGTTCTCGCTGAACGATTGATTTATGCAACTGCGCCGATTTTTTCTATAGCCCCACCAACCGGATAGACCAGTAAACCCCTCCCCCTTTTTTATATTTGAGCTTGATAAGCGGCCCTGTAGAGGAATATTCGTTGGAAGCACTTGACTAAAGGAATGCCAATATATTTTTGGGGCCAATCAATCGCAGAAGACCCCCCTCCCTGAAATGCTTCGATTATCAATCTCGGGCGAAAATAGTAAATTCGCTGAGTGGTGAAAAAAAGACACAGATTTCGGTTGATATAAGGGAAGAGATAGGACCCAGCAAATGGCTCTATGAAAAACATGAATTAATTACTGCCTGACAGCAGAGGCGATTTACCTACATGGAGTACGCGTATAACCCCATGTCCGGGTACGTTAAATTCTTATCAGGTTTTCTAGAGCGGTATTATCGCCTGACTGGCTTTTGCACTTTTACTTTCATCCATCGAACTCGTTTTGGAATCACGTCGATTGGGGTGAATTGACTTTATCGGACCGTCTGATCTCGCAGCACAACAAACATTAATGGTACAATGCTTCGGGAAGGGTAGATAAACACGAAGCTAATCAGTTTTGGTCACAAGTTGGTAAAGACTTACTACGTAGAACTCATATCGTACATCGGACAAAGTCAAGACACGAAAAATATTGATATTTACAACTAATCATGGCAAAAACAATTTGTCTATGATACATTGCTAATCAAAAACAAAAAGGGAAAATTAAAATAAGATTATCTAAAGATAGAGCTAGTCTTCCACGCATTATTTCGTCAAGTTAAGTTTCCTTATGAGTCAGCCACGTTTAAAACTTAATCTTATAATATATGAGTCAACTAACTCACATAATAAAAAATCATTATGGCTAAGACTTTAGTCGTACACAGAAGTACATAGTAAATTTGCGGTGGTAATCAAAGAGACCGATTTCCTAGCGCCCCAGTCAATAAAAATAACCAAATATATGGAAAAACTTGTTGAACGGGCATTACAATTTGAATTCGCTTATCAGTCAAGTGGGAATGTGAACAAAACTAGCTTTAATGATCTTTTGTTGGGAAATCTTAAAAAAACTTTTGGGGGTTCGTACGTGCGTACGCACTTGAAGATATCTTCTCTCTAAGATTATTGCGTATTTGTAAACATTTATATGGGATCTAAAACGGAAAAGGGTTTCTTAGTTTTATTAGCTGTTTGCAGTTCTATAAAGCCGTATCTTGTGGTTTCTACTTCTATTATCATACCTTAACCTTCAATGAACCTTCCCAACGATATCGATTTAGGGTATTCGAATCTCCGCTTGGATTCATTTCCATTCGGGTGTTTAGGTATTTGATGTGTGGGCTTATCAACTTGGCGTTCGGCAACAATTCTAATTACACTCCCAATGTGCTTGACATTAGCCCACCCAGGGGTTTACCCCCCAAATTCCACTTCGATTTCATCCCCACATAGAAAAATTCGCACACATTCCAGTGTCGAGTTCTCGTGGCTTTTATTCTATACGACCGATCATAAATACGTTTATTGTTTATAATCGTAAACAAATATCGCAAAAAAAAGCGCCTGTATTCCATTTTTGAGGTGTTAAAGGTTAGAATGGTAGTAATAAATATGTTTTATAGATTGCTTTGCCACTTGACCTGCGCTTATCAAGGGATAAGGCATTTTTTATTGGTTCCCCAAATGCACTGTGGAAAAACTTATGTATTTAATTATAATATTCAAACTCATCATGAATATCTGGCCCTTAGATGGCGTATTGGTGTATTGGGTTACGAACCAGTTTTAAATTTATGGATCAAATTTTTCCAGAGTATCCCATCCCCAGTCAAAATAATCCAAATGTATCTTCGATTTCCATCTGGTTCTTATGCAATAGCCCGACTGAAACTGCGTTTTACGGCAATTGAGAAGCGGAAGACAACGATATCCAGTTCGAGATCGAATTGCATTTATTTTGTTTGTTTCGTTTGCTAACACGCCAGTACATATTTCAGGTAATTAACGTAGTATATACGACCCTGGCTGAATAGTTGCTAAATGACTGGGTCCAGTGCAATGTGTTTTGTTGGCAAATGAATGAATGAACCCATATAGGGGGTGTAATAATATCGGTTCAAAGTTCTGGCTCGGGTCACAGTCGTCTGTTTAGTCACCTGTAATCGCGAGTCATTACGAAAACGGGTTATGAATAAGAACTAAGAGGCAAACCAATTACTCAGCAAAATCGTTGTTGCAAAGTCTTTGTTATTCAGGGGTTTTATGTTTGCGAATAAGATTTATAATGAGAGTTAATACACCAAGGGAAACAATATATAAATTGTATGTCTTATCTTATTGTAACTGCTCATCTAATATTTATTTCGAAGTTGCAATCTCATGCACTTGTTGAGAGAATATAAAACCCGTCTTATCAAGAAAGCTTAACTAAGAATAGATGTGCAATTGCCTGGCGCTTATCACAGTTGATTTTCCAAGAATATATATCTATATAATGCGATCCGAGTGGGTTTTCGAAACCGCAGCACTTTTTATTCGAGCTTA